AAATTTACATTTGTCACATACTGATAGACTAAAACTTCCAATGAGATATTATTATATCTCTTTGCTTCATTTCAAAATACTATTTGATTTAGATTTAAACTTTCAAATAATACCTCGGAGTTGTTTAATTATTGTTTTCGAAAATATGTCATGTTTTTAATTTACTATAATTTCACAGTTTGTTGTATATTAAAAATCGGCGCGATATCAAAATTCTAGTAATCCGGACAATCGTACGCTCAGGTAACAATCTAACAATCGCCCTCTAAAATCGACAAAACGCTACCCGCACGAGCAAACGAGCCAATCAGCACAAGACTACATAATCGACCTTCCTCGTGCAATTTACTAGATCGCAAGATACATATCCCACGATCGAGCAACAACCGAATATCAAAGCATTTATCGGAAGTGTTCACGTAATAATCGATGGATCGGACGGCTTTCCGGCGCGCGCGATCGTGATGTATCGTTATTGACCGTTCTCGATATAAAACCTTCGATCTTATTACCTCCTTTGGGGCCTCTGCTGATTTAGGTGTACATAGCGCTGTTTATTCTTTTTTTTTTCTCTTGCTACTTGGCATTCTCTATGACAGCACAAAGAGGGACAGCCACTCTCCGACAGACTTTTATTTTTTATTTTTCTCAGTCGATCTTTACATTTTTTTTTGTTTTATCAGTGAGAAGACCAAGTCGCTGTGCAGCCCGCCGAAGGTCTAAATATCGGCGTTTATTTAGCGGGCAGAGATATATGATATGACGCGGACAATATAATGCATTGTATTCAAATACGGGAGCTGCGAGTCGTGACCGGGAGGCTGCTGCTGCTGCTGCTGCTGCTTACCATGTCTCTCAACGTATATCTCGTTCTCCGCCATCGCTGCTCCTTCTTTTCTTCACTTCGACTCTCACTCTCTCTCTCTCTCTCTCTCTCTCTCTCTCTCTCTCTCTCTCTCGACGTCGTCGCAAATGTCCGAGCGCGAGGATATAACTCGATGCGTTTCGCCTACATGGGAGCACATAAATAATAAGTTAAGGCAGCAGTTGTTCGGATTAGAATCGAAGACGTACGGCGAAAGTTTTCGTGCACGCGGATAGGTCGAGAGAAAGAGAGAGAGAGAGAGAGAGAAAGAGAGAGAGAGAGACCATGCCCGTTCCAGATTGAATATTGATAAAGCCAAACAACCCGAGAGCCCGATAATATATACTGGAATGCTTAATTTATTACTCGATTTTCTGTAATTAGACTGAGTCTTATTCTCGATCGCTTCCTATGCAATAAGGACATCGTATTCGAAACAGCTGAAAGTGTTATTTTTAGGAGTGAAAATGGAATGAGAGGTAGATTTTTATTTTTTGTGTATCTTAAATAAGACGAATTAATCAATACAGCAATGGCGTACTAATTTCACACTTTGGAGAATAGGAGAAAAAGACGAAAGGTTCGTTACCAAACTCTCCGAAAGAACGAAACAGCACGAAAGCAGATCTGGTGACCAAAACAGGAGGCAGCAACAGTCGGGAGTAGGAGACCATTAAAAGCGTACGTACATTGCCGCTGAACACGTATATATAGCGTAGATACAAAGGTCCTTGGGCGCAGCAGCATGACAGGGAGCGCACGTACGTTATATACTCGCCTATCTTTGGTCCATATCAAATATACCAAAGCACCTCTAAAATTCAAGTGCAGTATTTTTCTGCGGCCTTGTAATAGCATTCGGTTCGGCTAGATGAATCCGGCGTATACAAGAAGCGATTGCTGGTCGGCGTATATAATGCACTTGAGAGGGAAAAACACGAGATCAGACGTTTGCGTGCCGAGCGAGAGAGGGAGAAATCGCAAGGAATCTCTCGACGAAGCGCGCACATGGAATCGACTTGGACGCGCCAGTATTTATGGTCGGTCAGCTTCCCCATGCGCGCGCTTCACTTCTTTTTTCTTACCAATTCGACCGCTTTATTTATTCGTGCACTCGCTGTCTTTCAATGTCTGCGGGAAATACTCTTGAGAGGTTCTTTTGGAAATTTAAGTGGCAGGTCAGATGGTCTTCTCCTTGGATGTAGTATCGATCGATTTTCATTTGCACAGGTATTGGTGAGCTTGTTTTGTAAAATCAAAAGAAATAATCCAAATGACAAACGCACCGATTGGAAGAGGGAAAGCGCGAGGAAGAAAATGAAGAGAGAAAGGATCTCACAGTTACTCGTCGCCGACGACGACGACGACTGCGCAAAGGTTGAAAGGTCTGGTTGGATAAGCAATCGTCACGCGACAAATCCTTGCTTGCTTGCTTGCGCACTGGGTGACGACGCGCACCGAAACTCCTCTCCAATCTCCGGCCTCGTAATGCACCTTTCAACGTCAGGCCGGCTCTTTATCTTGCCGTCGCGCCGATTAATTCTTCGCTCTCTCTCTCTCTCTCTCTTGTCCTCTCGCTAAGACATCGACAGCAATTCCACCAGCACCAAACCCCTCCTGTCTTTTTCATTCACAGCTAGGAATTACTCTCGCCACTGAAGACCTGTCCGAGAGAGAGAGAGAGAGAGAGTAGCGTAAGCGCGCGATAACAAACTTCCTTTCTTTTCCGCGCACTCTCTTCGTGAGCTTTTTTTGTTCCTCCAATGTCGATATTCTAATGTCTCCGTGCGTCAGATTTCCGCCGAACAATAAGAGCTTGCGTTGGCTCTCGCTACGATGATTATATTCTTTGCCGAATAGGGCGTTTGCAGGATTTTATTTTTACGGTAACGAGAAAAAGGAAGATAGAGCATTTCATGATTAAACTTTGAGTACCTACGATTATGTTTGCTAGCAGAAAAATAGCAATCGCTGAAAAATATTACGACTTTTTCTCTCAACCTACACTCTTCCGAAATAATATTTCGAAAATACTGGTCAAGGAAAAACTAACGGAAAGAGAATCAATTATTGAAGTAGAGTGAAGTTCCATTTTCTTTGTATTCAGCTTCATTTCTTCTAGCTTTTCCGTGTCGCACGATTTCATCAATTTTCCTTACAGATTGATCTTAATGTTCAGCATCGTACCCTTTAAACTTCGGCAATAAATAAATGTCTCAGTCACATTTTTTAAAGCATATATTTAATCGCAAGTCTAAAATCTCACTCACAAAGATGAAAGACGAGGATCTTCATGAAAATGATGAAATTCATGGGCTAGTAAATGTCTGCGGCGCAACAAAAATCCAATAGCAAAATGTCTGCAACAATGGGTGATAAAAGCTCAAAGTCACGATGGAAAGGTTTCATCAGTCATGCTTAGGCAGGCAGGCCGCCAGATCTGCTAGCGTCTAGCGAGGTCTGCTGCAAAATTGAGGCGCAAACAATCCGTCGAATATCGCAGTGTTTGATCGTCCGGGACACAATATCTCGCAGGTCATTCGCTCTCAGCGAAAGCCCGCGCGAGAAGGCTCTATATATCTCTGCTTCATCACGCTCCCCATCTCGAGCGCATCCCAATTGTCACGAAGCTGCTACGATCCTTTCGGCAAGGCGCTCTTCATTTTTCGACGATGAAAAGGCGCGTAATATCGTCATCGCGAGATAGTACTCCCTCCTTGCGATCGAACGGCTCTTGCATATTACAGCCATTGTCTATTCGAGGATGCGTGCGAGGACGACGACGTTTCTCACTAACAATAATAAGTCAAATTGAACCTAAGTCGGTGCGATAATGTGCAAACTTTCCGGTTTGCTTCATTTTCTTAAGCTTCAAATGCGTGTATATATTTTTTCTTTTGCTCATACATTACAGTGAATATGGTGCGCTTCAGATTTATTCCAGCATGTTTACTCGCAACACCTGTCGAATATTGTGTTGACCATCTCAGCGAAATTATCGATTTATTTAAATAATATTAATATTATATTACATAATATTGTCATTTTTCACGGAATTCTAAGACTTGTTTGGGAAAACTTGTCTCAAAAAGACGAACAAACCAGGTATAAAATTAACAAGTCCGCAAAAAAGAAAAGCTGAACGAAAACTCGAAAAAGAAAGGTTGCAGTCAAATTGAAAATCGAGGCGCACACGAGAAAGGACAGGAAAGCGAGCTTGGTCTGGAGAAATAAAGCGAGAGAATTAATGTGGCGGGGCGCGCGAGCGTCGGGAGAAAAGCGGAAGAAGAAAATGAGTATAATAAAGACCGAAACTCGGGGGTCGCTCTCTCTCTCTCTCCCTCTCTCGCGCGCGCGCGCTCTGCTCGAAATAAAGACAGAACGGACGACTGGCTGGATAGGAAAGAGAGAGAGAGAGAGAAAAAGAGCTTGGCGGAAAGCGAATTCGGAACAAAGTTTCGTCATTGCGAAATGACACGAGTGGCCTTTATAGCATCGGCGCGCGAGCGAGCACACGGCTGTATTGACAAAAGTGTCTTATAGGGAGGGCGTATATAGCCTCTCGTCGCTGCCGTTTTCCCCGATATTACCGGCTCGTCTCCCCCTCCCTCTGTCTCGCTCGCTCTCTCTCTCTCTCTCTCTTCGAGTCTTACTCTGATTGCCACACTACTGTACAGCCAAGAGAGAAACGTAAAACCGTCTTAGGCTCTAATCGGGAAAGAGAGGTTTTGCGAACACCGGGAAACACGGATGAATTGTTCGGCGTTCTCTCAACGACTGTCGCACTCGCTTTACGAACTATCTACTTGCCATTTGCGGTTAATCAAACTCCACGTCTGCAGCGCGTCACGCTTTTCATTACTGTACACGTCTCGACTGTTTCTTACGCGTTCACATTTTTTTTCCTCGTCAACCTTGGCAAATGAAACCTATATTGCTTCACAGATTCTTCGTTGGCGATAATGCTTCAAATAAATTTACTTTTGAAACTGAAGAAATATGATAAGTGGCGTTCAACCATTAGTATTATATTTTCAGTAGCAACATGTACATTAAATATCATTTTCTTACGTAGATTACTGATTGAATATTTAATTATAAATAGTTATATTAATATCTAAGTATCACAGTTACAAGTAAATAGTACATTTAGTGATTCGTTATTTCTTTTTTCTTTTTCTCTTTGAAAGCGCACGCAATTCCGTAATGATCAATTGAAAGCGAATTCGCGTTTCACGTAAAAGATTAAACAGACGGTCGCGTATGGCGACGACAAGTGACTTTTAACGGCAAAAACTGAAGTTCTCGTGTGGTGCAGTAGCCGAGTTGGACATGTATAACGGACAAAAATATAATTCCGATGATGGATTTGAAATGAAAAAGTCTGTGTGAAAAACGTATAGAGGTTGGCATGGATGAAAGCGAGTCGTCGTCGTGGTGAGATGGGTGGGGAGAGAGAGAGAGAGAGGGAGAGAGAGAGCGAGATCACAATTTATCAAAGAGAGACGAGAGGGAGAATTCCCGATCGTTTCTCGATAGACGTGTACCTTCTCTCTTCGGGCGTCACTCTTCGCTGCTCAGTGCTAGTCAATTCCGCGATGATAAAGCAAATAGATAATGTCCGAACTTTAATTAAAACTGGACGCTTGAGCGACGTCTTTGATTACCCGAGAATTTAATTAATCGCCCGACGGCTCCGCCCGACGCGCGTAAGCCTTTCTACCTTTCTCTCTCTCTCTCTCACTCACTCTCCTCCTCTCTACGTTAAGTCACCCGCCGATTTTTTTTTGCTCTCTCCCCCTCTCATACTCTGACGAGACTCCCGGATGTGCATGCGTGTACGTACCACGCATGCTAATTTATTATACCCTACTCCTACTTGGATCTTTAAACTTCATCAGATATCACTCAATTTTCTGTAATCTGCTGCTATTTATTCTTTTTTATGTTTTTCACTCGTTCCATAGAGTAACTTATCAAGCGAATATTTCAGGATACAATACAATAATATCGTAGTTAATACAATACTCGCCAATATAAATCCATACACATCGAGTAAGTGCAATTGCCACCACTCCAATTCAAGTGCTGGAGATCTTAATACATTAGGTCCATTACGAATAATATACTCGATCCAAAAACTTGCGGTGTCCGTTGCATTCATTGGTCTGTCCTTGAATAAGTTTGAGTAGATTTTGGCATTTTTCCTACCGATAAATTATAAACATCATCAATCATTCATAATCATTTTGTAGATGTGTATAACAAGAAGGTATACTTGTATTTGGGGTTTTTAAGAACTTCATTCAGAGCTTCATCAAGAGATTCTGTCGTTATGTTGTCAAAATTTATTTTGACTCCCATATTTTTCTCTACAAATATTGCAACATTTCTATGTTGATCGCCAAATAGTGGTATTCCAATGATTGGTACTGCAAAGTATAGAGTTTCTTGAATACCCATTAATCCGCCGTGAGTTATGAAGACTTTCACGTTTGGATGACCTGTAACGGAAAACAATCATAATATTAAATAAAGAAAAAAACAAAATTGTTTCATATTTAAACAGTGTAGTTTTGTTCATTACTTAGTACGGCTTGCTGTGGAATCCACGCTGACGTATATACATTCTTCGGCAGTCCAGGTGGCAACTTTCGTTTATCTGCAATTTTCATTATCACTCGAATGGGTGTTATCTTGGCAAATGATTTATAGACATCCAGAATTGTTTTTTCAGGCAACGATTCAATCAACACGAGAGACCCGAATGTGAAATATGCAACACCGTCGCTACTTTCATCTAAGTATTTTTTCCATTTCTAACCGACAACAACTGTATTAGTCAAGACGTCTTGACCGTATAAATTCTAATAATATAAGATAATTATGTATACTTACAGGAGTGAGTATTCTAAGCTCACTTTGTTCGATATGCAAGCCACTTACTTCAACGAGAGATGGAGCTATAGGTTTGGCACCATACAATACTGGATGCCGATTGACCAAGGTCAATGCCACGCTTCTTTCTACCTGACGAATGTTTGGTGTGTCAGTTTTTAAATATTTTCTCATAGCATCTGTTTGAAATTTTTCTGACGTTTTATGAAATGTATGTACGGTTTGGTGATAAGACACCGTATTCCATAAACGATCGAAGAATGAACTTTTGTCAAAATCGGACGATAAAGCATTACATACGTAAGCTGGGTTATCGTCACTCCCAATTAATTGACTAACCCATGGATATTCAACTGAACTCGAGACCGCGATTACTGGTACGTTCAAAAGATGACCAAAGCCCATGAAGCAATGTGATCCAAATGCCTGCACAAAAATGTTATTTATTCACCTTTAAATTATAATCATTGAATTCTAATAATGAATTATTTGTAACAAATATTTCACTTACTTCAGTGATGACGACATCGTAAGGAGGGTTATTAGGAGGATTTTTTATGAGCTTTTGCATTTCAGGAAGATCCATTAGTTTGCAAAATGCGTTACCATAATCATCAGCAATCATACGAGCAACATCATGATCTAATAATTTTACGTAATCTATTGTAAAGCTATTCACTACTGATTTCAAAGTTCCATTAAGATTCACTACAACGTTGTACGTCTTGCCTGCATCCTTCACTGGGAAATGCGTGATATCGTCAACTTGATGACCACGCTTTGCTAACCCCTTCATTAGGGCACTGAACATGACATTGTGACTCTTTCCATTATATGGAAAAATGCCTAGTATTCTATAACCATCTAATAATGTTGCACAGTATGCAAGGGTACAAAGTAAGATGAAACATACTTTCATCTTTAAAAATATAGATTGTTTTCAAGCTTTAATAGCTTGGTGGAACCCAACAGCTGTTATGCTGTACGAAATGCACGCATAGCACTGCTCACGAACGCTCACTCTAGTAACAATTGTTGAACCGACTGCCTGTAAGCAAGTAGATAGCTTATCTTGTTTTAGATAAAACTGCAGAAACATTATCTACGCGCATTTGATGAATGAGATCGTTCGATCTGCTATTAATATGAACGTAAGGAAGATTTCTTTATCTAATGGAACACGAAGAGTTGTGCAAATAGTGATGTAGCAATGATTTGACCGAGTGTGGTTTCAACATAATATCGCGCGAAATATCATGTAAATAAATAAAAATAATGATCGATTGGATATATAAATATTATAAATAAAAAATACCGCAAGTGAATTTCTATTTAGAATTTGTATTACATGATGGATTCGTTGGAGGTGTTTTATTCTGTTGCTATAGCAAAACAAAATTACCTAATAATAAAAGTGTTTCAACGAATATAGCCAACATCCCGATGGAGAGAAAGAGTTTTTTTAAAAATAGCACTACAAATTCCAAGTACGCGCAGGCAGAATATTGCAGCAAGGCAAAAACAAAATTTGTTGATTCTACGTGAGCGATCAAAAAAGCAAATTAAATACCTCGCGAAATAAATATCAGTATAATCCAGCAACTAATCACATGAAATAATTGCGTTTTGTCTCGCTGGCTGCAGCTGCACACACGCTGATGGAAATAATCTCGTCACGCAAGCACGCGGGTTTACATAAGCCTCTTTTTAGAACAGTGCCGCACGCATCCGCGATGTATATGCTTACGTGTGAGATGCCGCGTTTGATTACTATTCAACAGGCTAACGCGATTTCTTCAAAATATTGCAATGTGCACAGAAAAAAATCAAATAAATACAATTAACGTTGTTGTTGATCTTTGTACCCAAACGTAATTTATGATAAAATTATCGGTAAAAATTTCACGAAGTTCATAAAAGATATCACTTGACATCTAAAATTCTGAAATTACACAAAATATCTTAGTTATAAAACGATTGACGTTATATCCGCATAAAGTGCCTCAGACAGCGACAGACTAAATAAAACAACCCTGTCAATGAAATTCTCTTATAATTTGGCACTTAGCATTATTAATTTAAAATATTGTCGAAACACTTAGAAAATGAAAAAGATTGCACATCAGCAAACATAATTAGCAATATCCGCCGTGCATCAGCGCAGAAGCGAAAGAACGCTCGAGTGCGTTTTGACGTGACTACCGTGGCAAAAAAAAAAAGTCGCGTGCAGAACGCAAATGGCTGGAGAGCTTATATGGGATACACACACGTTGCCGCGGATGAGGGCGGTGATACTCTCCCCAAAAAAAAGGTACTCCGCTCTTCTTTCTTGCGGCAAGCCACACAAGGAGAAAACTCCGCGGCGGCACGACGTCTCGTCACGCCGCCTAAAAATCTACTTTTGCGCGTCATGCTCGTGAATGCATACTGCAGAGGCAAAAGAACGAAGAAATAATTAACTTCATACTTTAATATCTTTTGTTTGTTCGACGAATTAAGATTTTTTTATTTTATCCCTACAATCTGTGAATGTTTCACACGAAAATGTTCATGATGTGTTTATGTTAATTATAAATGTAATATCATCGGCATGGACTGAGTTTATGACTTAGTTTATGAAAAAGCGAATGACTATTAGTTATAGAGAGCAAAAATGTAAAATATTTCAATACAAATTACTGTTAAGAAATTTCTTTCTTTTTGTCTTGTTAGGGGGTAGTGGAACTATCCTATAATGATTTGTTAAAAAGTAGGTTCTATTTACGTTAGAAATTTCATCTCATTATAAAGAAAATATGGTGAAGTTAGCATGGCTTATAGAAATATAATAAGGTTCAGTTGCTTATTAAAGTGAAATATGTAAAAAATGTATAGCTAAAAACTTGTGTTGATTGCTAATTGGACCACTATCTTTGAGAACGAATGAATAAATCAAAAGAGGAAGGTTGAGATTAGTCATCACGAGGATCGAATGTAGTAAAAGAAGTATATGTTATCTCGCGAGATCGAGAGATTGAATAAGAAGCAGACGCGTTAAATCGGAGGATATAGAAGCAAAATCGACGCACGGCGAAGCAGCAGTGAGGAGTCGAGGGGTGGTATAGCACATAACTCGAGGTATGTATCGCACAGCGCCAGTAAATTATACGCAAAGTGTACAAGAGTGAGAGAGAGAGAGAGAGAGAGAGAGAGGACGAAAAAGGGAGAGCGAGCGCCTGCGCACCCTAGAGAGTATAACGCTGCCGCTGCTACTGCCTCGCGTACATCATTATGATTGATCGCTTCACCTTACTTTGTAATTAAAACTAGTTGCCATTGTGGCCCGCGCCGCTACTGGCTCCTGAGAGCTGCCTGCCTGCGTATGACCGAGACGGAAGAGCGCGAGGGAGAAGGACGTGAGCGAGCCGTACGGAATTGTGTGTCCCCGCCTCGTACTTGCCTACGTGTGCGATTCGCTCGCAAACGGTATTTACATGGCATTGTCATCATTGATACGCATGACCCATCGCATTTGTCTAATCATTCGTTGCGTCCCGCTGCCGCGGGAGCTGTAATTTCGCTTCCTTTCAATTACACCCGGCGACTTCAATTGCGGTTTTACAAGACAACCAGTCGATTGCACTACCGTCACTACTGCACGCCGTTTATTTTCTTCGTCATCGTCAAAAATGTCTCGTTTTATAATACTGCAAACTCATTATCGTTTAGATCATGACTCGAAGTCGATGAAGTTTATGGTTTGTCGAAAAGTAAACACGTGCACACATTTATCCACAGATAACGCTGTTAAGTTCTGTTAGCCAAATCATGGTATTACGGACGAGCGGTCGAGATATATCATCAATCGTCGTATATTTAAACTGGAGCGCACACGCGAGTTTTAGTGGCAGTGAGAAGAAGAGCGAGCAGCGACGAGCTCCGGAGCCGCCGCCGCGTTCACAAACACGTACAGGAAGAGGGAGAGAGAGAGAGAGAGAGAGGAGCGCCACTCTCGCTTTCCCGCGGCCATGCTTCATAGTTATCTATGCTTTTTGCGCGGAGACTGATTTAGAGCCGTCTAAGGACCCCGGGCCCAACGAAAATTAAATAATTGCTAATTTATGGCGCGGATCGTCGCATCCCGACAAGAGCGAGAGAGCTGGCTTGCTCACAGCTCGATATATATATACGTGCCCCCTCTTCTTTCACGCTCTCTCTCTCTCTCTCACTTGTGCAGCAGTTTCGGATTTTCCGAGCAGATAGCAATGATCGTTAATACGTCTCTCTCTTGCCAAGGAAGCCTTCGTACGTTCAAGTTTGAGAGATAACGCGACGTTGCGATGCTTGTACAATCGAGCACGAAATTCGCCCGAGTTTACGGAGAGAGATGGGAGGAGGAGGATGAGAAGGAGGGTGTATACAAGCTCGATTTACACCACTAATGATCGTGTTCACCTACCTCTCCCCCTCCCGCTCTCTCTCCTCTCTCTCTCTCTGCATACCCGCTTACTTCGAGTGTGGTTATTCACTTTTTGTGGTCGATTTTTTTAAGAAAAATTTTTTGTTTTTATTCATCAATTTATTGGCTTTACTTATCGAGTCCGTCAATAAATATTATAACTGGCTTCAGAATATTTAAGTGTTATTCATTAACAAATCCGTGTCGTCAAGAGGAAGCTGCACTAAAAAATGGGTGCTTATCGATCTCGCGGGTGACAATGAAAAGAGTGTAATCTTGCAGCTATATCGAGTGAAAAAATCATAAAAACCTATTTCATTGTCGTGACTGTATCGTCTAAACCCCATGACGATAAATTTATGCGCGTATCCAACGCTTTCTCTCTCTCTTTCTCTTTCTTTATTATTTTTTTTCTGCGTTCGATTCAATGCCAAATGCACAAAGGCTTCATATTTTTATTTTTTTCAGAGGGGCACGCGCATTTGGCCAAACTGGTGGTGTGGAACACAGAATTAAAAAAAAAAAGAAAGTGGCATATCGCATTTTGCATGTATAATATCGCGGCAATGACGCGGCATATGTACCGGAAAATCATTCGAAAATTCATCAAAAGAGAGTGGTGGAGCTCTAGTAACAGCGGCGGCGCTAACAATAAAAATCCGTCGCGTCGCATAAATCAAAAAAGGTTCGCTTTGCGCGGCACAGCACACCACTCGTATCCTGAAGGCAGCTCAACCCATTCCGACATTTGAACCCTCGCGCGTCTGTACTTCATAACTGCCGATTGACGGCCCCCAATAAAGCATATTCGTCGTGAAAAATTCGCTCGCACGCGATTCCCATTAACACTAAATTACTCTCCCGCTCTCTCTCTCTCTCTCTCTCTCTCGTGTTTTCGCTTGTTCCCCGAATTAGATGCCCTTGGGAAAATCGATTATAATATGTTATTTTTGCGTGTATTGATTTTTTCTTTTTTACTTCGTTGCAAATCGAATTTTGAACCAATTTGTAAAGTGTTCATTTTTACAAATTGTATAATGAAATTTTCGATGATAGAGTTTATGATGTTGATTAAAAATCAGTACTATCACTCGGCGTTTTATGAGTAACATGTAACGAACACATGTGAATAACTGATTAAATTGTATAGATGCAATTGAAAAATTAATTTTTAAGCTAATCGATAACTCAAATTCAGTCATGCACACGCTGGCAAACTCGCGGAAAAGCATAATCAATAATCTGGGCGTATACATTTAATTTGAATAATTAAGTAAAGTTTGAAACTCACGGAAACAAGATAGAGAAAGCGAGAACACAACATATACATACACATTTTGTCCGGTCGATCACAAAGTCCAAAAGCTCGTTATAAGTCTAGCAGCGCGTTATAGTATGCAAATTAATGGTGACGCGGTTTAATTCGGCAATAAATAGAGGGGTCACCCTTGGCTTTGGCCATCAGTCACGGGCAGGCGCGCCACTGCCGCCGCGACCTGGCGCAGTCTTTCTCTTTCTTCTCGTTCGTGCTCTATGCATTACGCACACATATGCGCGCGCGCGTGTATCCTGGGAAAAGCTTTGGATTTATTTGACGCTTCGCGACAATATTTATAGATCCGGTTCGCAATGCGCGCGCGCGTCTTAACGAAACGCGTTCTTCTTATTCATCATCGTCCGCGATGCCGTGTTCTTCTTCGTTCGATGCTTAAATGCTCCTTGATATCGTAATTCGTCGGCACGAGTTATGAGACCATGCAAGGCCGTTGACTGCCCGAGCTCCTCTCCTCCGCGCTCGATTCCGCTTTGAGGTTTTATAAATCTTGTGGGCTATCGCGCCTTCAGATTGGAAAGGCCGAAAGGGGAAAGAGAAAGATGCCGAGAGAACCGAGGTTTCTCTAATTTATTATTTTATGCTTTGGATTTCGTTGTGGAGCGAGACACTATGATATGTTGTAAATGCCGGTGCTTTTCGTTTTTTTATTTTATTTGAGCACGGGGCGCAAATAGTCGATCCTTATTTTCAGTACCTTTCTCAAAATTATTGTTTAAATTTTGATGTTTCACGTATTATAAGACATGATTTTTTATCCAACGATTAACGTTGGATTGGTATCAACAATCTAGACACATCATTTGATATCAATTAATTATCATCTAATTTTTTTATTAGTTATACTTTTAAAATAAAAAATTTTATGTGAAAAAATGTTAATCGCCTTACAAAGTAAACAAAGAATACGAAACATCTGAAAATTAGCTTATCAATGAAAATGTTATTCATAAATTGACACTATAATCTGCTTGTTTGCGAATTGTTGCTTTCAGGAAGCACAACGAGGCCGTTGATCCAATCAAAAGCACGTTTTTGACTAATTCAACCCATGAGAGACTGATGCAAAGACCAAGCGAAAAAGAGCATGGAATTGAAAAAAGTCAAAGAAAGACGAAATTTATCGTCAAAAAGAAAAGGGGGCTATGGGTATAAATCTCGGGTATTATAATGGGATCTGTCTATTATTAAAGAATGAGTGATTTAGGGGAGGGGTGGAGTCCGAACCCGAGCGCCAAGTGGGTGGGGTACGTGCACGGCGGCGGCGGCGGTTCTCCCTTTCTCGACTGCATGTGAATTTGATCGGCAATTCAAAAGTTAAGAGATACACTCGTCACTTTGGCTCATGCCTTTCTCGTACAAACTACCTTACCGATGTATGGCTCTTAGATATGGCATATGACATCTATCGTTGAAAACATTCTTACTTGCTAATTCAAACATCGTGAGTGATCCAAAAATGTCTGTCTAATCAATTCGAGTTGCTTGAAAAGTCAAAGAAAGGTACTGTCATGAAAAAATTATATGTAATTATTTTATTTATTCTATCAACGATGAAATCATAAAATTTGTTTGCATACTAAGAAACAGACTAGTTTAGCACATATTTGAATTAATGTTCATAAAGCATTTGTGTATGTATAAACACTCGTGTAAACCATTTGCTCAGAATGTTTTCCGAAATTTTCCGATTTAGAAAGTTTCTACTTTAAGTTGAATTTGAAAAATAAATGTTATATAGATTATTGAAATAAGTTCTGATAACAAGACATACCGATATAAATGCGAAAACTACGATTAAAGTTAATTCCTGTCATCTCAGATCGTAAGCTGGGGACCGTAGTACTAATAGACCATCGCGACTACGTATTCGATCCAGCAGTATGTTGTGATATCTATAGCACTTATAGGTTTATCATGATACAATTTGGATTATACTTAACGCTGAATATAACGAAGAAGAAAGTTATTAAATTAGAATTTTATTATCAATCAGTAATTTTTGTTATATTATTATTTTATAATCAACATTTGCATACCAATTAAACAGAAAATTCATCTAATTTTTTTTTCGTGAAGAACATCACCTGAAACTGCATTATGCATAATTTTTAAAACGAATTTTGATATGAAGTAGAGTATGATATTCGATAGAATAAAGACTAGAAGAATAAATGTATAAACATCAAGCAATGCTAATTGCCACCAAGTCAAGTTTAAAGATGGCGACCGCATTATATTTGGTCCATTACGTATTACGTATTCGATCCAATATACGGCGGTGTCCATTGCACTGAGAGGTCTGTCTTTAAATAATTTTGAGTAGTATTTAGCACTTTTTCTGAAAAAATTGAGAATTATTAATCAATACATTGTGTGATGACATTGAAAATATTATTTTGATAAAATTCACCTATATTTTGAATCAAAGAGTATAGCTTGTAATGCTGCATCTAAAGTTTTTTCAGAAACATCTTTTAACGGTAATTTGATCGACATATTTTTTGCTACAAAAGCTTCTACATTTCGCGGTTGATCAGCAAAAAGCGGTACACCAATCATCGGAACACCATAGTATAGAGCCTCTTGACTGCCCATCAAACCACCATGCGTTATGAAAGCTTTTGTATTTTTGTGTGCTATAATGAAATGTTAAATGAAAAAATTCCATTTGAGAGCTTACAAATAATTGAAAGTAAGAAGACAAAATTATCAGTCTATTTTTATAGTTGAAATAGCAGTTATATATAATTTGAAATTGATAAGATTTTAGCAATTCTAGCGGTACCTAAAACAGCTTGCTGTGGTATCCACGGTAAGTGCAAAATATTGTTTGGCAAACCAGGAGGTAAATTAGTTGCATTAGCTACTTTCATCAATACTCGAGTTGGTGCTATTTTAGCAAAAGAAGCATAAATTATTTTCAAAATATCCTTAGATAATGATTCAACGACAACCATAGAACCGAAGGTAAAATAAACAACGCCATCTTTACTTTCATCCATCCATTTCAACAATTCCTGAAGAAATAAAATCAATTAATGAAAAAATCTAAAAGCTAATTTAATATTTTTCAGTCAATGAAATCGTCGAAATTTGTCGTGTATATCTAATATAATAACCTTCGATAATTTTGAGTCATTTTCTTCGACATGTAAACCGCCTACTTGAACGAGAGTTGGTAAAACTGGTTTAACACCATAGAGTATAGAATGACTATTAACTAATGTCAATGCTACACTTCTTTCAATTTCTCTAATATTTGGTAACTTAGAATTTATATATTTTCTCATCGATTCTGTTTGACTGTGTTCTGTAAGTTTATGAAATTTCCAAATTTCGTTATAATAAATAATTGTATTTTTGAGACGTTGCCAAAAGTTCATTTGACCAAATGCCATAAATAATGCGTTTGGCACCACGGCTGGATTATCATTATTTCCCGTAAAATCGCTAACCCACGGATACTCTAGGGCTGAAGATGCCGCTACAATGGGAATATTAAAATGATAACCAATTCCCATAAAACAATTTGCTCCAAAAGCCTTAAAAATTCAAATAGAAAAGCAATTGAACAGATGAAATGATTTTATTACACATAATTAATTAAGTGTTGAAAAAGTATAAACCAAAAAATACCTCAGTTATTAGAACATCATAAGGTGGATTAGTTGGTGGATTATGGATTACTTCTTGTATTTCTTTCAAATTCATTAAATCACATAATCTATTTCCATATGCAGTAGCTACGTGATAACCAACTTCATCTGCCATTCCAAGTACAAAATCCATCGAAAAACTGTTTATAAGATTTTCCATTGTACCAGAAAGATTGACTAGAGTTCTGTAGTTGATAGGCGGATTTTTTATTGGAAAATGAGTTATTACATCTACTTGATGACCACGTTTAGCTAATCCTTTCATTAATGCTTCAAACATCATTTCATGACTCTTGCCATTTAATGGGAAAATTCCTAATACTCTATAAGCACTAGACTGATCCAAAACTATCACGGTCAAAAATAATATACTCACTGCACGTAACATTTCTAATTTATTGGACGTATCTATTTTCGATGTATTGAAATATTATTAGAAAAACTCACAGTTAATCACGTATTGAATAATTTTTAATTTTAAACAACTCACAGATAATTATGCATTTTGAAAAACATTCAACAGAGAACGGTGGAAAGCATCTGACTGAAACGAAAACCAGAAGTAGAAGAATCAGGAAGTCATTTAACTTCTCAGTCATAAAATAAAATTGTAGTTCAAACGTGCATGACAATATTTGTTGGTGGTAAATGATAGACGATTGACGTCTATTAATACTAATAACTGCTGTTTGAAAGTTGTTACGTTACACAATACTTCTGTGAATGTAGCATGATATTTTACTTACAATGTTGACAACGTTTACTGACTAGAGAAAAGTGTAATGATTGTGCGATGTTATTTTAATATTTTCAGTTTAAATATTTTAACCAGTAATATTTAAATTACAGATATTTTGAAATTAATACTTATATTTTTAAATTACAACTGAAATAGTATAAATAGTACTAGAGTAATTGCGGCTGTTGCAAACGTTCTTTAATATTATTAATCCTTATCGTAATAAAAGATTCCACTACCATTTTATCTAAAATCATTATCTATAATAAATAAAATTCAATATCGGAATACTATTTTTTTTTTAATTTTATTATCTTAGTCAATCATTTATTGATAATCACCTTATATTATAAACATAGATTGCAATAAATATATATACCATCACACACACAAATGTTGCATTTATTTAAAAAATTGGTATTATTTATAAGTATTATTTAAACATTACGTACATTATTATGATAGATATTTGGTTCAAGTGTATTTGTAGCTATATTTTAGTAAAAAACTTGTATACTGTTCTCGGATAATGCACTTATTGAAATAATAGGAATAAGTCAACAAAGCCATCTGGCAATGCTTCAAAAAGAGTTCAAAAATGTAACAAGTAAAAATTATAAAATAAATATACTATCTTTAATGTATATAAACGAACATTAATGTATAAAACTTGTGAAAAATATGCTAAAGATCAAAAATTGCTATCTTCTATCAATAAATTAACAAGATAATACATTAGACATTAATAATCATACATTTATATATTCTGTAGATCGTATGTCTTTCCTAGTATAGGGTAAATTGAAATAAATACAGCATTTATTTTACTTTATATAAAAATATTTTCTGTTATAAATAAAAACGTTTTGACATTTGGTACCAATGCTTGTGTGGATGTAAATAAATGCAAAATAAATGTTCATTCAGTCGTTTCTAAATATTCAAAAAAGATTTTATGTAAGAAATAATTTTTTTTTCAGAGTCTTTTCTGATATGGTATTTTAAGTAGTTTTTATTTTTACTCGGAAACTATAAAATAATTTTCTAATGAAAAAGTTTACTATACAATATGTTAGAATTAGTAGAACAGTGACACTGACAAAGAAAAAAGCGTAAATGTCAAGTTGAGCTAATTCCCACCACTGCAAATCGAATGCTGGAGAACGTAGAACTGATGGGTCATTACGAATTGTGTATTCAATCCAATATATGGCAGTATCCATGGCAGTCATAGGTCTATCACGAAACAATTTTGAGTAAAGCTTAGCACTTGATCTAAAAACAAAAAAGTTGTCTTAGACTATAATCTATTTAATACTTCTTATTCTCAACAAGTACCTATATTTAGGATTACTCAAAACAGCTCTCATAGCTTTTCCAAAAGCGTCAGTTTTCAAATCATCTAGAGTGAGTTTAATTGACATATTCTTTGTAACGAAAGCTGCAGCATTACGAAACTGATCGCCAAATAATGGAACACCCACCATTGGTACGCCGTAGTACAATGCTTCTTGACTTCCCATTAATCCACTATGCGTTATGAATAGTCGAACATTTTTATGAGCTACGAATATAAAAAGCAATATAACTATTTTTAACATTTATATCAATAGTGAATCAATATACCTAGTACAGTTTCTTGAGGAATCCAAGGAGAAGTTAAAACATTTGGAGGCAGCCTTGGAGGTAATTTTTGTTTATCAACTACTTTCATTAAAACTCGAATAGGAGCTATGCTTTTAAAGGTCTTAAAAATATTTTGAAGAGTAGACATAGGAAGTGATTCTATTAGTGCCATTGAACCGAAAGTGAAGTACACGAGCCCGTCGGAACTTTCATCAAGCCATTTTTCCATTTCCTAAAATGTATAAACTTTTTGTATGATTTTATTTCATAATTTCATTTATAAAACTTGCCGATGATAGTTCCAACTTCTCTTGGCCAATATGTAATCCTCCAACTTGTACTAATGAAGGAATTATTGGTTTAACACCAAAAATTACTGGATGGGAATTTATTAAAGTTAAGGCAACACTTTTTTCCACCTCACGGATGTTTGGAATATCTGGACTGATATATTTTCTCATTGCTTCGGTTTGACTCTGTTCTGTAAGACTTTGAAAAGTAAACTCTTCTTTTTTGTGTAAGTAAAAGTTATATAAACGTTCCCAGAACGTCATTTTTTCAAAAATTGATAGAGAAGATGTTACTACATAAGCTAAATTGTCATCATTTCCAATAAAACTACTTATCCACGGATATTCAATAGCTGATGAAACGGCAACAACCGGAACTTGTAGTAAATGACCAAATCCGAAAAAACAATTGGCTGCGAATGCCTGAAAAAAATTTTAATATTACGAACATTTAATATGTATAAATGGTTATTAGCCGATTTGAAAATAACATTCTTAATCTTACCTCAACTATAACTAAATCGTATGATGGATTATTCGGAAGATCTTTTATAAAGTTTTGCAAAGATGTTAATGCCAATATTTGATGGCATACCGAGTTGCCGAGTTGTTCACTAAGCACATTAACACCAACATCTCGAAAGCTTAGTATAAAATCTATTGTGAAATTGTTAACGATTCTTGGCAAAGTTCCATCGAGATTAACAACGACTTTATAGTTTGGTGGTGCATTTTTTATAGGAAAATGCGTAATAACATCCACTTGATGACCACGACTTGCTAGTTCTTTAACCAATGGATTAAACATGACGTTATGACTTTTAGCATTGTAAGCAAAAATAGCTAATATTTTATATCCATCACTCAGTGCCACTGCGATTAATAAAAAGACACAAAATAATAATGTTTTGTTATTATAGATCATCTTCGAATAAGAAAAATTTCACTATTATATTAAATTGCAGCACTCTAGAACTTTGTACGTCTTTATTCGTTTTTAAGCTACTGAGCATTGAGACAGATTGGCGTGATGGTCTCTTTGGGGCTGGCTGCAAGCAATTGATGTAGATATATAGTGCAGTATCTCGTCTATGAATAGACTGTTCAATTTAAGCACGTTAACGTGACGAGTGCATGAACTTGAAAGTTGTGTACATAGATTCCAAAGTGATGAACATGTTAAAGCCTGTTCATATGTGCTTATCACGAAAGACGGTATTTTTTCATTGAAAGAATGATTACTTGTAATAATCGCGTGGAAAATAACTATATATATTATTGTGACTGACACTGCAAGGTATTTGATGGTAACAAATACAATATATTAGGATGAAAAATGTTGATAATTTAATTTATTTTTATCACCTTCTTGTAATGTAATTTGTGTATTCTTCTTTATAAAATCAGTCGATCTTTTCAGATTTATATATCACTAATTTCATTGCGGATGCCATTTATAAATATCGAATTGGCAGGGGGCTTAATAAAAAGGACATTTGGTAGAGCCTTAAAATTAAGCATTTACCTACAGAGTAAGCTCTAGTTGCACAGTCATGACTATGTAGCGTCAAATTATCCTACCTTTAAAAATAGAAATTAATAAAATAAGGTCTCTATTGATTGTGATAGGTCAGTTGAAGATAGAGATTTTAACATTTGATTGGCTTGCTAATATGACGTTCTAATCGTGCGCGAAAATTTGAAATAATTTATCGACTTTTCAATGTTATTGAGCAAATGAATATTAGAAAACTTGAAAGTAGGTACAACTGATTTTACTTATCTGCTTGTCTCCATTTATCATGGATGAAGAAGTTTTATTTATTATATAATTTATTACTTCGTTTAGACAAATCGTAAAAGTAATTTTATCAAAAAATTTATTTAGAAAAAATGAAACAGAATGCTCATAATGTCAATAGCCGTGTCTACCAATTTTATCGAAAGAAGAGATAACTTGACTAATTCATTAATTATAATGAATATAGATAAATGGTTTTTGATTCACAGACGTAGAACTACTTTGATTGTGAAAAAAATTTAATTTAACATTAATTAAGTAAAAAATGTTCATTTCTTTGAGAAAATATTTCAAATGATTCCCCCAAAAATGCACGAAAGGCAAGAGTCAAGCGGAAAGAGTTCTGGGACAGAGTTCTCGATTTTTCGAGGCGTACACACATATCGTCGTCTCGTGGGGTGCTGGAGCAGGTAACCCCACCTTCAGAGTATAGTTCTCTAGTAACAGAGTAGCAGCAGCTCTGTATAGTAGTCGACGAGTCGCATGGCGGGGATATTTACGACTGACCGACTCATTGGCGCGAGAGTTGAGCGAGTGGTCGCCACAAATCACGTGTTAGCTCTACAGCAGCAGTCGAGAAAGCTGCTGCCGGCCTTTCTCCGCACACACATTGGAAGTGCCTGGCATTTTTCTCTGCCGGGGATAACTTTGACTTATTGGTGACAGCATGGGAGAAAGAGTGAGGAGACAGTCAAAAATAATGTCGACCAGTGCTGAGAGAAATGCTCCTGGCTCGAAAACTCAAGAAATCCTTCGGTGTGCGTTAAAAGATTTTTCCTCACATGCTTCAGTGAGAGAATGTTTCTATTGGGATGAGCAGGGAGGGGGGGGAGACCAGAAAATTGAGATTTTTACCAAAAATGATTTGACAAATGACTAGTTAGCTTGAAAAATCAATCGATTCGTAGTCTTTTGAATTTTCCAACGTATTTTTAAATTTAAACTATATGACTTTTAGTTTAAGCCATGCGATTAATTGCACAACATTAATAACTAAAGTTGATTCCGTTCTTTAATTAAATATATGAAACTGATATATTATTAAATTTGACACTGTAAATTGATGAACTGTTATATCCTTGCATGAAAATATTATTTGTGTACAATAAATTTGAGAATTGATCACTAAGAAAGAAATGATTGAGAAATAAGATAAAAAATTGAATAAATATTTGTGCTTAACTTTAATATGTTAGGATTAAAACGTCGATAAGAATCCGCAAAGTTGTTGTGTCGACCAGAGAGGGAAGACAGTGTAGCTGCAAAGGCAGCAGGAGCAGGAGCAGGGAGGGTTGATGCATTGTGTCAGCTGCTGCCGATAAATAATGTGTATGTTGGTTTGACGTACGAGCAACATACGCACATGCAGAGGCTATAGCAAATCAGTCTCCGATTTTTCACGCGTGCCGATCGAGTTTCCGATCATAGCCATTTCTCCGTCCGCACGGAGAATTATTTCCATTCACCTACATAGATATATTTTTTTGATCCGCATCCGAAATGCGCGACTTACTTTATGCGTCTTCCCCCATTGTCGAATACTCTCTTAATGTGCTTTTCACAATCGTCTTCTTTCTCTCGCTCACGGCTGCTTTATTTATGTTTCATGCTTAAAATAAGGGTTTCCTCGCGCGCCACCGTACGGACGAGTTTATGGGCCGCGATTTATTGCTGATTGAAGGACGATCGATATAATCGTGAGCGAGCCGAGCACTAGTGGATCGTGCAGTGCAGAAACACAATATGAATTGTTCCGCGCGCGCGCTTATACGGCCGGTGATTTATTAAGTTTCATCCCGTGTGTAGAGCGCGGACACAAAAGCGTCGACGCGTTTATATATAAGCGTCGAAAAGCCCCGTTTGTTAACTGGCAAACAAACTTGTAAATAACGCTGCGCCGCTATCAGTGCACCTGCCGAGCTGTGAAACCGTCTACGATCGCGATGCGGATTCGCGCAATTAAAAAGAACGCAGGTATGGGAATTGGCCAACGTTAATTATCGCCGGCGAGCGATAGACGGAGAGCATTAAGGACCGGTTACCGAATGTCGCTGCGTGCATAAATCACGGCCGCGCTCGGCGTATCTTCTCGCTCGCTCGTCGCGCGCGCTGACTTCTTGTCGCGCCTTAATAAACGCGCGCACGTGATAGACCGAACCGACTCCCGCGACAAATCCTGATTATACTCTGCTCTTGACGTTATACCTTGCGCGCGAACGCGGGGGTAGTCTGCTTTTTGTTTGGAACGCTCCGCGCCAACACACAGTGCCGGAGAGCTTTTCTCGCTCTCCGGACCGACGACTCGTCTTACCCAACTTCAATGGCTGCTGTCCTCTGGCTTTGCTCATCGAGAGTTGCGAGCTTGCACTTGTGATTTGGCAATCCTCGGAATTCTCAGCGGGGCCGCTTTGGCAAATTGCTCACGGTCCTCGGCCCGATACTAATATGACGATAATGCGCTGGTTCGGCCAGGTCAACTGGACGAAATAACGCGCAAAGCGCCAACGAGAGTTATCCTGAAGGAACAAAATAAATGACGCGACACGCAAAAGTAAAGAGCGAAACGCTCGACAATCCATTATTCCGTGCCGCCCGTTTCCTTTTTTTCTTGCCGGGCATAATCGACTTTCGCTCCGCCGTTGGCTTTTGCAAGAGTGTGTGTTTGCGCCCCGTCGTCGCGCGAGCAACAACTTTGGTCTTTTCCTCTGCTGACGCGATGTATATAGTTATAATATATACACAAGGCGGATTTTTGTTTTCCTCTTTCTCTCTTGGTTTGCCTCTCATCTTTTGCTAGCGCGCGCGACCGACTGACAGGCTGGACCGCGTAAATCAATTTTCAATTACAGCTTTAGTACGTAACAGGCGACGCGTGGAAAGAGAAAGAGAGAGAGAGAGTGCAAAGGAGAATCTAGCCTCGAAAACCCCTTCTCCTATATAGTTATATATGCTGGGTATACCTCGTTTGGCACCCTTGCGTGTACATCGTTTACTCTTCGCTCTGCGTCAAGGTGCAACTGACATTGTCGACTGGCTAATCAATAAATATTGTTTTTCCTAGAAAGTGCCTTTTTCATGAAAAACAAACTTATTTTTTCGCACCTTCTCATACATCATAGAACTATGAGTGCGGTTGACAAAACATTTATTTCGTTGAAGTTCTATTTTAAAATTTGAAAAAGTAGCAGCTGAGTAAATGCTGAGAGCGTAAAAAATGATCACATAGAAATAAACAATAAAAAGAACACGTAATAAACATGTTTATTACGTCTTTTGCTGTGCACAGGGCAGCAACAGAAGCAAGCGCATAAAAACAAAGACGAGAGCAGTAGTCAAAATAAGAAGAGATGCGTAGCGAAAGGAAGGCGAAAAGAGAATGAAGATCAGAAAAAAGGGTTGCGAGCAGAGCGGCAGCCAGGCGAGAGATAGAAAGAGGAGCATAGCAGTACGTCAGAGGGTGAAGGGGGTTAAGTGCGGGCGTATACACGTACATACACATACAGCTGGAATCGCTTTCTCTCTCTCACTCTCACATACAGGTATTATTATACTTGGCTACAGTCATATTTATAAATCAGCGATATAGCAGGGCGCGCGCGGGACGAGCAACGTAGAGGGATGGAATTTATAGCTTCGTTCTCTTTTCCTCCCCCGTCTCTCGTCTGTGCGCAACTTGAGTGCGCGCAAACTGCCGTATGAGCTTAGGTCGACATTTTCCCTTCTCCTCGCTTCGGCTATAAATCTGCGAGTCTTTTGAGCCGCCGCTGCTAGCTGCTAGCTGCTAGCTACTGGACGCGACCGAGACTGGCGTGTGCCAGAGACCGAGACGAGAGAGAAAGAGAGGGGCCGAAGCAGACACAGACCGAGAGAATAGGGGAGGTTTCACGCCGATCTTTTGGCTTGTATACCTAACGCTTTTTCCGACCCAACAATTGATCCATTAATAATATAATCCGAAGATAAAGCTTTCTTTATCGCGCGATATTTCTTAAGTATAACTTGACGATTGACCGTTAACAGAGACAAAGTTTTCAATCAAATAGTTGAATTCAAGATCAATGCACTATAGCTTATCGCCAGATGCTTTTGGCAGATTATCGGCTGAAAAACCTACTATCTCGATAAATTATGCAACGTCGATGGCCAATCAATATATTTTTGTCGGTTCATTTTTATTGTCCTCGCCTATTCAGC